AGCGTAGCCAACGCTATATCTCTTGATCTCTTACAATTATCAAAACAGGCTGGGTGACATATTTTTTTGCCAAAAGCTTCATTTTTTTGCGTCAGACGGGAGGAAAAGGTCCCATGCTGTCGCCCTGCCCAATCATCAATGACTGGCTGGAGCGCCTCCACGGCGACAAAACCAGCACGTGGAGCCCCCAGTCGGGACGACCAACGAGCCATCGTGGCTTGGCGAGTGGCCTCACGCCACTCGCGTACTTCAGCGAGCACTTCCGCCTTCAAATTCCACGGGGGAGTTCTGGCCAACGCGCATGCTGCCTCCGGTGAAACGGTACGGTAACTACGTATGGCTCTAACCGCCAATATCCTCTGAGGGCGCCATAGGCGCGCCCTATTCTGGGCGGTCAGAGACGCCGCCCACACCGGTGCACCATACAGTGCCATTCGGTCAATGGAACTGTACGGTCGGGGCTGTACAACCCCCGTGTACAGCCCTCTTGTCGCGACGCTGGGTCCACCCAAATTGGGTAAAAGTCGCCCAAGGGCAGACGTAGCGCCGACCAGCTTTGGAGCAAGCTTTCGGAAGAGCTCGTCGAAGCGCCACCTCCCGTCGAGGATCAGGCCCAGATCAATTATTATCCAGCAGATCAAATTAAGGCGGTCCGGTATCTCATTTCACATTAAGATTTTTACTATTATGAATACATTTTTTAGGGCTTAAGTGTAAGTCTTGTATCGTGGAACTAAAGCAGCATGCTTGTTTACTAAAACTTCTAAATTAAAAAGCTAAGTAGCAATAATTAAGATTATGAAAGTAATTTGATAAAATAAAACTATGTAAATGAAGCAATTATACGAAAAAATAAGTATTAATTTAATTTACATCTATACTGTTTTTCATACGTTGTTCTTGGTAAATATCTCAAGAAAGCCATTGTTTGAAGTATCAGCATTCTCATCTGATATTATGTAGATTTTTTTGTCAAATTACTATATAACATACATATCCTTATTGGCAAACTTCTGAGACATACACAAATTAAATTTAACAAGTTTATATTATGTATCTGTGTAATAATATAAATGTATAACAATAATGAAACATGGTTCTTGTAATAATAGTTTCTGAGCTTGTCGGCTTCGTCACCATAGGCCTTGTAAGTTTTATCTTAGACCTGATAATGCGGGCCTTACTTCGCTTGGAGTCATTCTTACAATGATGTTGAGTGAAAGGACCAACGCATTGTTCTCCTGGGGGGCACTAACCCATATGCGCCGATTAGATACGAGAGACGCCACGACACGCCGGCGACAAATAAACACCGACTCATGTGCTACGTAAAATGTAAACAACATAATCTAAATCAACAAACGACCGGTTTACAACTAGTGTTAACAACCATCCAAAAATCTTGATAACAACATTTTGTTTTTATCTTTTTTGTCTTGCATCAGTTGTCTTATTACTAAATATTTACTTTGTTATAAATTTCTTTGAGTTTTAATTCTTCTACCAAATGTAGGAAAGGTCAATACAAATTAAAAATACTAATATCTTTAGAACACACAATTGCACAATTGCAATTACATACACTTATTTACTTTAAAATAAGTATTAGTTACAAAGGGCCAAGTTACATTTCATATCACATAGTTGGTTAGATCCTGTTGCATATATATCGCTTGGTTTTAAATTATAATATTAGTAAAGATTTTAACTCGTATTGATTGTGATTGAAGGAATGTGTTGTTCGAGTTCAAGTTGTCCCTACTCGAAAGTATACTGACTATGATTAAAGTTTAAGCCATTTAAAAATGTTTTCACACTATGTCCTTTTTCCAAACTAACGATGTCAAAGAATTAGACAATTTCAGACCATGAACCAATTGTTTCTTATATTTATTACTTCCTTATTCGAAATATTTCAATACGTTTTTTCTACAAATACTTCTTCTTCATTGCGCGATAGTTTTTAAACGAGAAATGTTATCCATAATGTAAATTTGAAGCGTACCACTTAGCAATCGTTTAGTACACATTGCTACAATGTTTTGTAGTACAAACAGACAAAGTCTGTTGCCCGATAAGAAAACTTTCTTCCTTTCAACATCGTCCAGTGTGTATTAATTAAATTCCTTAGAGTGATGCAAAGTAATGCACAGCATACTGTAGTGTATACATTATTAATGATTTGTTTACAATTTCTGTATAACGGTCACCATGACTCGAATAATATAGTTTATTTTGTGTTAAGTGGGAAAAACCATTCTTAGTAACCGGATAGTGAATAGTCTCGTTTAGTCACGTAGACCCTATCTGTCATAGGACAACAACAAAACGCAATTTAAAAAAAACAGAAGATATTGCGCAGAATAAAAATAGGTTTTTATATTTACTATAGAAAATAACAAATGTCTTTATATAATATATATAGGCATGGACGTATAAAAAAAAAGTCGGACGGAACTCCCGCTAAGACAAAACTGACGCACTGTAATGGCGGCAGCTTTCTATGTGTGAATGAGTGGTCAGAGGGATACTGGGAGGAACGGCGAGCCCTGAAAAGGGCTGTTGTATCCCTACGGTTCCCCCCCCCCCGCGGGCCTTGCAGGCCCGCCAATGTGTGGTGCTGCCAATAAATAAAAATATTTTATTTGTTCGAAATTTTACTGTTTTTATAATATTAATTACTAGCTGACCCGCGCAACTTCGTCTGCGTCTCTCAATAGTAATAAATTTTCTACGTTTTTGAAACATTCTTCATTGGTGCTCCGCTCCTATAGCCTTCCTCGATAAATGGCCTATCTAACACTGAAAGAATTTTAAAAATCGGACCAGTAGTTCCTGAGATTAGCGCGTTCAAACAAACAAACAAACAAACTCTTCAGCTTTATATTTATAATATTAGTATAGATATTTTTTCTAATAATAATCTTTTAATTTGAGAGGTTTTTAAAATTCTAATTTCGAGATGTGGTGAAACTGAATCGTGAAATATTTTTCCGCTATAAATTTAATGAGTATGTTCAGATTTAAAAAAACGCTTTTATTGCCAACAAACACACTTACATGACGACGTTGCAAATACTAGTGTAGCGTTGTGCCTTTATTTAAGCAAATTAAGAAGTGGCGACAGTAATGAGAGGTTTTGTGGTTTTTTTAATATGCCGCGAAATACACTTGAACGACAAAATAGCTTAACAACAGTTTTCTATGAGGCAGTGGTATCAGTCCGATCGAGCCTTGCCCATTTGTGCCGGCCATGTCTGTTCTTTTCTTTTCTTTAGTCTTTCTCTAATAAAGCTTCTACTTATTTTGATTAAATTGAGCAATCATTTGATTGTGCCTAATTATACGCAACTGTAGTCTGCAGGTTTTCTCTCTACAGTTAACATAGCAAAATAGTAAGTAGATATTTAATGTACTCCTAATGGAGTAGGTACTTGTTCCTCTTAGTAACTTAGTATTTAAATTGTATTGTACACATCTTTTATATTCTACAAGTATAATTAGATCTTAATCTTGGTATTAATTCAATGGTAAATAATAAGTTTCATATTTTGAACTTTGTAAATCCCCCTCTATTTCTCTGAAACCCGGCAAATTACGCATATGTTGTTTATTTTTTCTTAAACTACATACTTATAGGAATCTTAGACAGTAGTTTTCATCTTCACAACACTGTTATATTTATACCGATACTATTTTCCTTAGTTGTTTGGTCATTCTCCTTTCCTATATTTCGGGTAAATAGCACACTTGGAAGTTGGCGACACTGGCTTATTATGAATAATTTTGTTCTAGCGAATGCAGATTGATGTTAATGTATAAAATCTTTAAATAACAGATTGAAATATTCATTTGCCTATGAAACGATATTCCTAGATTATTTTTGTTTCGGTCACTACGGTTTTTACAGCATTTTGCCACGCGAAACATGTTGTAAATTTATTATATGTATTTTTATTATAAATATATTTATTATAAACATACTTTTCCGTCGCGTAATGCGTCTTGTTGTCTCGATGCTTGCGCCCGTAATGGCTGACTAATGTGTGTGTGTGTGTGTGTGTGTGTGTGTGGGTGTGTGTGTGTGTGTGTGTGTGTGTGTGTGTGTGTGTGTGTGGGTGTGGGTGTGGGTGTGGGTGTGTGTGGGTGTGGGTGTGGGTGTGGGTGTGTGTGTGCGTGTCGTCCTGTATGTTTAGTAAGTAAAACTGCTTATGTATAATAATTAGGTATAATAGGTAGGTATATCCAATAGATAGGAATAAAACAAATATCACTTTCCTCTGCCATTTTATAGAGAGCACACAAAGGTCAAACGGAAACAAGAGATGGCCTACATGACACACTATCAATAAATTAATGGCGCTAGTCTCCAGTCTATTGATTTTAATTTTGTAGGTTCATTGTCCTAATGATATTTAAAGACTCAATAACAACACTGCAAAAAGTAGATTTCTAGAAGCATATGCTTAGTCTTATTCGACCGTGAGAAATTTACTAATATGAAATAACATAACTATTACAGATTAGATATACAAATGGAGTGTTATAGAAAAGTAGTTGTGGTAATACGCTTTTCTGATATATTTATAAAATAGGGATGATAAAAGAGAGCTCCTTCTTTTGAAATGAAAAGTCACAGCGGATTCTTTTCTGAAGGTTCATTCTTTACATCTGTGGAAATGGTGTGTGTCCCCTGGAAAACGAGCCTAATCAGCTAATTTGGTTCAGATATTATTAGTATTTCCTTGTAGGATAAAATATGTATGCAAATTGCGAAAATAATTACATACATTAAATATCACATATTAAGGATAACAAGATCTTAATCGAGTTTGGTAATTGATGTGAAAAAAAGTCGAAGTCATGTAATATAATCAATCAAAATAATATAATCATAAATATGTCAATTTTAGTAACATTAAAAGTTAAAATTGCCGCAATATTACATGACGTTATTGATTTCTAGTAGGATATTTTTTTTTATTTAGTAGCAGTCTTACCTGAAACATGTCTGTGTCAGGATCCTCCATGTACTCAACAATAACCGCTTGGCTGCGGCTAAGTGTGTACGAAATTGAGTGTTGGCTGGCGTCTAGGATGGCCTTGCTGCTATGAGGAGTCTTGACCACATAGTGCTTTGAACGCCGCACTCCATTGGCTTGGGTTCGTCGGTAAAGGACGAACTTGCTACGACGCCTTCCGCGCTCACCTGCTGGCAGATATCCATTGTACCTGCAACAAATATACTTAGATAACTTCTGACGTCTAGTGAACAAATTTGACTAGAATCGATTATTGGTGTCATGATTTAGTTACGTCTCTGCTTGACGTCAATCATATTTAGATAAAAAAAACGCAAATTTACGGAATCATATAATATATATTTCTTCTCCCAACTCACAGATGAAAAAGGCCGCCAATTGTACTAGCCGTATAATACAAGTGTACCTTTCTTTGTATTATAATTGGTGTACAATAAAGAGATAAATTATTATTATAAATATGTGGTACTTTTTGTTATTCAAACCTGACGGGTCTGTTGGTCTAGTGGTTACTGACCCTGACTGCTAAGCCGGAGGTTTGATTGAGGATTCGATTCTCACCACCACTTAGTTTGGGATCAGACGACTGTGTGAGCTGTGTAAAGTTATTTTAAGAAAAACAGGAATTTTTACACCTAGACAGGTCATATAGTCATGTAGGTCTGCACTCAATGTACACCTTGTTGAGTTCTGACTAGCTGCTCGAGGTGTATTTCTAGAAAAAAATATTTTTCTTGTATTTAAAAATACCGGTACTTCTTTACTATTACTCTTACGTATTCTGCGGACTATACAACTGTAAAATCGATCATAACGCACACAAGTGATTGATTTACGAGTAATACCCATGTATTACTCGTAAATCAAATGGTACATCATTTACGTGGGTAGTTTTGAACATAACTATGCGACAATACCTTTTTTTTTTTTTTTAAACATGTGGAAATCCCCTCGTTATCTAGGGCCACCCGTAAGCCCAGCGCCTCAATGCGCCCGACCACCAGGGAGACTCCCCTTGTGGCCAGGCGCGCCGCCTCTTGGAAGTTCGCCCCCCGGGCTGTCACCAGAGTGTCATCAGCGTAACAAATTACACCTAGCCCGGGGGGAAATCGGCTCGAAGGGCCCAGTCGTACCCTATGTTCCACAAGAGGGGTCCAAGAACAGACCCCTGTGGAACACCGCACGACATGGGCCGACACCTCGAATTACCCTCTCGGTCCTCGTACACGACGGTACGCTCCTCTAAATAGTCTGCCACTAGCCGCCTCAGGTACTTTGGCACCCCATGATAGTGGAGTGCTTCCCTGATGCAGCTGAATGGCAGACTATTGAATGCGTTGGCGATGTCCAATGACACCGCCAACAGCACGCCGCCACAGCTCACGGCCTCTTCGGTCACGGCCCTCAGGCGCAACACAGGGTCGACTGTCGAACGCCCCGCCCGAAAACCAAATTGGGCGTCCGACAGATCGGGGCCCACCTCGTAGAGGTGCCGGACGATGCGGGCAGAGAGAACCCTCTCAAACAATTTACCCGCCTCGTCCAGCAGCACGATGGGCCTGTAGGCCGCGACCGAATTAGCACCCCGTCTCGGCTTCCTTAATAGGACCAGCTTCCCGCTCTTCCAGCACTCAGGGAAACGTCCCGACGCCAAGCTATCGTCGAACACCTCCCCGAGGCGGTCTGCCATGTGGTTGAGGGCTAGGGCCAGCACTCGGGCCGGTACCCCGTCTGGCCCAGGGGCGGTGTTCTTGGAACGGACCCGTAGAACAGCCGCCCCTACCTCCGAATCCCGGACGGGCGGAACATCATCCTCCTGTGTGTTCCGCTCGTTGCGGGAAAAGGCCCTCAACCACTTCTCGCAGGAAGCTGGGCTGGAGTCTCCGTAAGGGGGGGAGCGACGCGCAGAGCTTTTGTCGCGCCGCGCGGTAAGGGCGACCCCAGGGGTCACGATTAAGACCCTCCAGCATCTCCTCTCTCTTTTCTTCCTTGGCGCGGCTAATGGCCAGCTTCAGAGTTTTCCGCGCCTGTCGGTACTCCTCATGAAGCCGGTTCTCCTCACCGTCTCCACGGTGACGCCGCCGACTGCGCGTGTAGGACCTCCGGGCACGTGTACAGGCCGCACGGAGGTCCGCCAGCTCCTGGGACCACCAGTAGACCTCCTTCCTTGGAGGCCGACGACCTCGAATGCGGGGCATGGCCGCATCGCAGATATGCGTAATCGCATCGCGAAAGCGACCAGCCCCCACGTCGACCTCCTCGGTCGGAGCCTGAGGATACAGCCACGAATGAATTATGGCTGCCTGCTCTAGTAGGTCCCGGTTCAGTCTGGAACTATGCGACAATACCTAAGGTAACGTGTTTAATTGAAGGTTTTATTGTTAGGTCAGTGTTACCTCACAGCAAATACAATAATAAGTGCTTGGTAGTTACGCGCATTAAACATTAATTGTCGATGGGAAAGGTTAAACTTCCGTGAGAACAAATTCAGAAACAATCGAAACGTACTTGTGCCTTTTGGTTCTATTCCCACAACTATACAAATGAAATTCTACTATACCATACAAAGGTAACCAAAACTACCTGTACCTGGCTTCTCTAAACTGTAGTACTGTGTATATTTAATTGTGTGGAACCCTAATAGTTTGATTAAGTTTGTCCTTGTGGCTTCAGCGACCTGTCAAAGGAAGGCTTGTGAAAACCGACTGCAACAGTTTCGCATATTGATTAATGAATGAGTGTCATGACTAAATTAATCTTTATGTTATTATTAAGCTTAAGATGAGGATGATCCCAATTAAGTCGGGTAATTAACGTTTTTAATGAATTTACATCAGGTTTATGAAAGTGTAATTATGATATACCTCCATTATAATTATTATATAAATTGCACTTCTAAATGGCAAAAGTATGGTATGAGCAGTGGACTATTAAAGGATGATGACGATGGTATGAGGAATATTATAATTTATCAAGATTTAGGCAGCTCGAAATTAGTTGCATTTCTCCGCTTTTAAGCTTTGTAGAGTGACCTTTCCTTTCCTTTCCTCAATAAATATTCTATCCAATACAAAACGATTTTGTTAGGTCGACTGGTATTTCCCGTGATTGAAACATTAAAAAAAAATCAAAAACCAGTCTCTTAGACTTTATACTATCATAGTCCAAAAACCCATAAATAATAAATAACATAATTTTCTATTCAACATTGTTGGTAGATAGGTTGGTTAGTTTGTAACAATAATATTAAACATTTTTTTAACTGTTGGTAAACAAGAATAAAATTTAATTGCTTTAATGGCTTGTAAAGATTCCTTCAAATGTCAAGATCGCAATTAATCATCAATGTGTTCAATTTCGCGTTATATTATGTTTCGCCTTATAAATTTGAATTGGAATTTAAATAACATACATATACATGCTACACATTTTATAATATATTTTCGGGCAGTCGGATTACCTGATGGTGACTCCCGCCGCCTTAGTCATAAGTACGTTTCTCTTTGAGTTGGAAGTACGTTCTTCTTTTGAAAGTTGGGAGGTCATATCAGTCAAGCAATACTGCCGGCGATAACTTGTTTGACAGGTTGATTGTATTAGGCAAAAAGTTTCTTGAAAGTGAATGCCAATTATCCAAGTTTTTGGGATGAAATTTTCGTCGAGTTGAACGATTGCGGAAAGCTGCGGCCCGTACAGTATAAGCCTGAACAGTTCCTATGTGCATTCCCCATAATACTAGCGAAAGAGAGAAGTAAAGCCACATCTCCACGGAGTGTAACCGATTAGAAATATTCTGACAATCAACGATTAGTCACTCTCCCTTGAATGTGCGCCACATGGAGTAGCTGGTGCCGGGGTGCTCTTGTCTAGACATGATTCTTATGAATCGTACAGTGGTGGGCGCCCAATTTTCAAGGTGATGAATATGAAACATAATCTTGCAGCTTTCTCTTGCTGGGGTAGGTAGAAATAAAAGCCTGCCACTTCCTCTTGTCCTTACAAATTTCACAAGTTTCCTCAGCTTTCATTAAACCTTTCATGCGAGATGAATTCGGGTATTTCTGACCTGCTTTTTACACACTCATTGCTTATTTAGTCAAGGTATATCCTGAGTGGTTCCCTAACGGCCATCTTGCATCCTATATATACAAACGAATATAAATTACACCTGCACAATAAAATGGTTAGTCAAATTTTAGCTCTTTTTTAATTCATTTCTTTGTGTCTGTTTTGTCATGAGTTTTGTTAAATACAAAACATAGGGCTCTGTTAATATACATACCAAACTATGAATTTAAATATTCGACTCTATATTGCTAACATAACGATGTGCTGTCTTTTAAAAAGGGGTCTCAGTGTTATATTCTTATGTAGGAAAAGACAATGTTAACGACTCGACGCATGGGAATCTTCACAAGTGCAAACCTTTGTGTGATGTTGTATAAATCGGCGTAACACACTGACATAAGACGTTTTTGTTAAAATGTTTGTTCTCGTGGACTCCCATCACATAAGTCACATTTCCGCACACCGATGCCAGTCTGATTTTCACCTTTGTTTATTGTGCTTTGTATGTTGTCTTATTAATGTGTTGTTTTATGTATTTCTCCTTCAATACATTTTAGACACATCATTCAGATTTTTTTATATTTATAGGAACATGCGAAATATTTCTCTAAATCTAATTTCTCTAAGTCTAAATCAATTCAATCATAAATTTAGTAACTGAAGGACTGGTATTGCACTGTATTTTTTTTTCCTATTTAGACTAGTTGCTTAAACAATTCTCGCAAAAAGGTAGGTACTTCACAGTAGGCTATTTTCTCTTAAGCCTCTTTGAAATAGATACTGTGACATTATGCGTCTTTCACAGGCATTTAGACACAAATAATATTGAAACAAACAAAATCTTGTCTTCTTTTCGGGAGGGCGATGTAATATACTTTCTAAAATATTGCCTACATTAGGCAATGAGCGCAAAAAAATAACATTCAAGCCATAAAACAACTAAATTTAGCAAAATCAGCTTTGTTTCTGTTTAGTACGGAGGCCGACAATAAATCTGTATTGATGTAGCTCATAATAACAGCGATCAATTTATACCACCTTTACACGTGTACGCTAACACGGAACCGTTAACTTCACTGTGTAAGTAATATCAGAGAAAAGTAAAGTGAGGAAAACCTAACT